ACTATCGAATCTCTCCCTCAGACTTGAACTGAACACCGTCTCGGTGTTAGCTCACCCTGTGGTTAAAAAACGATTTATTCGTGCTGGAAAGAATGGAGAAGGGAAAAGACTTAGCTTGTTTTTGTGGAGCATCATTCTTGGCGTTATTCACTCGTTCTCGCCTGTTCCATATCTCTATGCAAACTAAATTCTAGGTTCAACAAATCAAGTGGCCAACAAGATTTATAGCATTAAGATTCATTCATTCAACCCAAATTATAAAACCCATAGTTTCAAAGATAGGTTATGTTCACATGATCCTTACACAACCTTAATCCCTAACCTACAATGATAAATCTACTCACACATCATGGAAAACATACAAACAACATCCAAATAGAAGTTCATGACAAGAATTAAAAGAGAGGGAATAGAATGCTTAGTGATAGTTGCAGGACTCTTCTTCTTCCTCCTCCTCTTCTTCTTCTTCTCTTGACTCCTCCTTGGATCTCTCTCAAGAAGCTCTCAATTCACTCTTCAAACTCACTCTCTAATGTGTTGGATGATGCCTCTAAGCCTCCCCTTCGTGCCCCTTTTATAGCCAAGAAAAGAAGCAAGACATTTCCCCATTTTCCTCCTCATTTTCCTCCATAATTCCCGAGCTCCGTGTTTTGAGGAAAATGTGTTTTCTTGTCGCCACCAAATGACATAGTCATAATGTTTTCCTCATAACTTTCGGCTCCGATGTCGGATTGAAGTGCTCTTGGTATCCACGTGTAGCTATTGAAAATATCTTTCCAATGATGTATCGCATACATCATTTGGACCTGTATGGAGAAAGTTATGTAGCTCGTAATAGCACACTCGTGCACAGTTCGTCGTCAGAACACATATGCTCATAGTATTTTCACCATAACTTTCTAATGCAATATCTGATTGGAGTGATCTTTGTGTCCGTGCGTAGCTATTGAAAAAGGCTTTCCAATGCTGTATAGTACGCATGATATGGATCTGTATTGCAAAAGTTATGGGACTCGTACTATCAACATCGGGCAAGCATTTCCTCTTTGACTCTTTGGTACTCAGAATATGTTCGGGTTGGTTCCGGGTCATGTCTTTTTTCTTGGAAATTGCCTCATTTTCGTCCAAAGCTTCAATTTTCCTGCAAAATATCAAAAACATCGAAGTCGGAATAAAATGTACAAGGGATATCTATAAATATGCAAAATATCGTGAAATGTGCTAGACATCCAATGTGAAAATATGACAATATTTACATGTCATCAAACTCCCCCAGACTTAGCGTTTTGCTCGTCCTCGAGCAAGCTAAATCTCGAAAACTTTGATGAATGGAACTGTCTACCAAAGATGAATCGTAGAAATAGATTAAAAATCGAACATAATGCTAACTGCGAACGAAATCAAAGACATTCTGCGGTGATATCTTATCCCAATAAAAGATCTAGCTAGAAATGGGGTTTACATTATTACTCAGAACTTTTTCGGATTTTCGACCAATCTTACTAAGCATTTTTTTTTTATCGTATTCTCATTTTTTTTTTTTTTTTGCTACTCTTAGTGAAAGATGTACCGGGCTTTCTAGGACGTTGAAGTTGTCGAGCATTATTTATTTATTATATATTCTTTTTTTTCTTTTTTTTCTCTTTTGTTTTTTTTACATATATATACATATGCTCGACCCACAACTTAGACCCGAGCCTTTTGGCACTCATGTCCCCGAATGATGTTCATTAACGAGATAATGACAGCGGAGTGTCGGGACTTTTCTAAACACTGAGATGAACGATACGATTTTAAGATGGCTAAATAAGATGATAGAAAATCTTTCCATTGTTCTAAATATTAATCTACCCCACATTCTAACTAATTCTATCACAGGATCAATCTATCAAGTTGAATGTCTTCGACAATCCGTTCTATCCTTAGGATCTCCTAAGACAGTCTGCAAGATGTCTCAAGTCAATCTAATTCTAATGATTCAAGATATTTTTTTTTTTTACACACACAAATATAGATATATATATAATATCCTGAAAAAAAAAAATGACTATCAATGTATATGACTATCGAATCTCTCCCTCAGACTTGAACTGAACACCGTCTCGGTGTTAGCTCACCCTGTGGTTAAAAAACGATTTATTCGTGCAGGAAAGAATGGAGAAGGGAAAAGACTTAGCTTGTTTTTGTGGAGCATCATTCTTGGCGTTATTCACTCGTTCTCGCCTGTGAGTATGGTGTTGAGTTGTTCTTCTTTGTTGTTTCCATCTGAACTTAAACAGAAAATTCATCCACACACAATATATACAAGAAATCTTAATAAGCAAACCACACTTTGAAAAGCAAACAGTAAAGGATATGTGATCGGGCTCCCTCCCGTCAAGGGCTCGTTTAGGGTCATGAGCTTGACCTTCTTCGTTCAGTTCTCGGATGGGTCGGAGAGAGGAAGTACACCTCTCTTGTTGGTCGGAAATATCGAGTTGTGTAGCTTGACCCCCGAGGTATTGACCTCAAATGTTCGTACACCTTGTCCACAAAGCTCGATCATGTCGTGGGTGTGTTCAATGGCCTTCCCGAGCCCTTGAAGTAAGGGCTTGGGTTCCACTTCATGTGCATTCTCTTGACTCCAGTCGAACCTAAGTGGAGAAAGTGTGGTGACTGGAGTCTCCTTGCGTTCCTGGGTTTGGGTGGTGGCAGCAAAGTCATGATCTTTCCCTCTTCGAAAGAAATGGACAACCTCGTTCGGGATGCATGATGAATCGATCGATGGTGTGTCAGATGCATCCGAAATGAGGTTAGAGGTCCAAATGTTCTCCTTATTGGCGTGAGCGTTCTCTTGAGAGATCAGGGCCATCGATTTCAGAGGATCATGATCTTGAAATTGATCAGATGCTTTCTCCGTCGGAGCCTCAATCATGTCAATGAAGTACAAGGATTCCATGACAGAGGGTTGCTTGTGACTTTGATCGAGAGTGAATTCCAACGTCTCATCACCTATCTTCATTGTTAACCTGCCTGCTCTCACATGGATGACAGCGTCCGCTGTGTTGAGGAATGGACGACCCAGAATGATGGGTACCTTCGAATCTTCATCCATGTCCAACACTACGAAATCGACCGGTACATAGAAATTGCCCACCTTGAGTGGGACGTCTTCTAATATCCCAGCAGGATATTTCACCGATCTGTCAGCAAGTTGCAATGTCATCCTTGTAGGTTTCAACTCTCCCACATTCAACTTCTTGAAAATCGACAGTGGGAGGAGGCTCACGCTTGCTCCTAGATCACATAATGCCCGATCAATCGAAACATTACCCAATTTACAGGGTATTGAGAAGCTACCTGGGTCGGCTCTTTTGAGCGGTAAATCGTGTTGAATTAACGCACTACACTCCATGTTGAGCGACACTGTCTCCTTTTCAATGACTCTTTTCTTCGTGAGGATGTCCTTTAGGAACTTCGTGTAAGATGGTATTCGCAGGATAGCCTCTGTGAATGGCATGGTGATCTCGAGCTTCTTCAACATCTCGGCAAATCTAGCAAATTGTTGATCTTCTTTGTTTTTCTTTAAGCGAGATGGAAAGGGGATGGGTGGAGGTCTAGGTGGTGGAGGAACATAGACTTCCTCATCTTCTTCGTTCATAACCTCTTTATCTTTGGAGACTTGCCCCTTTTCTATCATCGGCGGAGTGATCTCTTCAAGCTGCTTGCCACCCCTCAGGGTGATGGCATTACAATGCTCTCGTGGGTTTATCTCAGGCTTTCCAGGAAGTGACCCATTCGGTCTTTGAGACGTCGAGGCCAATTGGGCAACCTGGTTGTCAAGTAGTTTTAGATGGGACTGCATCCCATCCACTTGAGCTTGCATGCTCTCCATCTGCTTCTTAACCTCCTCTTGGTCCATCTTCAAATCGTGTAGCACGGTCTCTTGCGTCTTTTGTCCTTGAAGGAGTAGTGCTAGCATCGCTTTGATCTCCGAGTTACTATCTTGTTGCGGCGGTGGAGGCGCAGATGCTC